GGCACCCAAAACTCGCGAGACTACGTCTGTGAGAATTTACAAAATGGGAAGCGGAGGGAGCTGGAATGTGTTTAAACTCCTCCTGCCCCCCACCTCCACCGCTTCTGCCGGAGTTAGAATGATGCTACTCCCTCCACCTCCACCGCTTCTGCTGGAGTTAGAATGATGCTACTCCTCTAACAAACCATTATTCAACAATTAATCATAAGTCGATTAATTTTTTTGCATCCCTAATTAATTATTGTTCTGTCTTGATGATTTACATTGTTTGCCCGTGTGTGTGTGTGTGTGTGTGTGTTTTCTGCTCAGAGGTGTCCAGCTGACCAATCCCTTCTACAGCATCTGGGCCTCAGATGTAGGAACTGAGCTCGCTGTATCCTTCAAACTAACAGTTGATCTCATGTTTACTGTCAGGGTCTTACCATGAAGTCTGTGTGGAAACATTTTTGGTTGGCAGCCTGTAAACATGTTGCATGTTTATTTCTGTTAAGTGAAAAAAAGAAATGCTTCGGCACATTCTGCTTCTTGCTCAGTTTTTGTTTACATTTTCAATTTTCATCAGATGTGTCATGTATCACATTGTTGAAAAATGAGATGAAGATTATCTAGTTCCTTTTTATCACTTTAGCTCTAATTTCAGTGACGTTAGGACAGATTTAATCACTGATAAGATGTATTTGATTGTAAATAACTGGTATAAATGAGTTGTTGCCTTTAAAGAAGTGAGTACAGTTGAGAGTTTAAAGGTGGGGGAACTTCAGCTTCAGTGTTTCTTTGTTAGTTTTGTTTCTTTGACTGACTCTTCCTCAGATGTCCTTCATAATCGTGGCAGGGATCTGCGCCTGTCTCTACTTCCTCTTCCTCTGTTTCATGGTGTTTCAAGTCTTCCGCAACATCAGTGGTAAGAGGTCGTCCCTGCCTGCCATGTCCAAGGCCAGGCGTCTGCACTACGAGGTGTGTCTCTGTGGTTTTCATGTCCAAGTTATTTCACTCTGTGCATGTGTTTGCCTGATCTTGATTAATATATATGTTATATATATTAAGGTGTCACTCAAGACTTCTTCAGTACTTGGTTTGAGTTCAGCATATCTGGGCTTTGTTTCTGTAGCTTGGCTTGACAAAACCTGGAACTCTACAAAGAAAAGCCGGAGCTGTGACTGATGTTACTTAAACTTCAAATTTCTCCTTTAGATCAGAGGTGTTTTCCTTGTGCGCCTTCACAAGCAAGAGCAGCCTTTCATGCTTTGTTTGGAGCCCTTTTGTTCAAAATATAAACTTATTGAAGCACTTTTGTTCAACCTTTAAACAACATTCATAATCATGGTCATCAAAAAATTTCTGAGTGCATTAAGAGAAAATATAWATAACTTGGATTTAAAGTAGATTTATCTTTCAGCTTCAACAAGTTTTTTTTAACTCCAACTGGTGCAATGAGTTGCTTCTCTTTTCTTAACCGTGTGGAAAGACGCATCCTGTGGTCATGGAACAGAAGTTAGCTTGTTTGAGAAGGGTCCAATCATCGGCATCAAGCAGAGAAAATATCTAAGTAGATTGTAGAAATGACTAAAATTGTCCAACACATTATTAAAAACTGGAAGGATAGTGGACCCATTGGGCCTCATGCAAGAACCGTTCGTACGCACAGATTTGTTCTTAAATTGTGCGTACGAGTGATTTAGGAGAATTTGTGGCATTCACCAATG